TAATGCAAAGATGACATTGTTTGAGATGTCTTTGTTATGGGCTATGGTTAGGGGTAAGGGTAGGGGTAGGGTTAGGTCAAATAATGTCATATGTGCATTAAAAATGACATAACTGAGTGAATGACACTTAATGACAGTTGTCATAAACATGCATAAAACCTCCTTCATATTCATGACATGTGTCATGTCATGATTATGAAGGTGTCATGTCAGTCTTATGCACACCCCTTCAAGTAAAGTGTTACCAAGAAATGATTAGATTAGCAAGTCAACAAGCTAGAACAGAAGTGCAGACGAGATCTATAATCTATAAACTTTCTCTGAAAACCCAGTTTGTTAATTGAGATTTCCAATTTGCATTAGGTAACATTTTTCTGTCATTACAAAGAGGGACATATTTGACAAGCACTATCATTTGAGAGGCAAATGTCAGCAAATTTAAAGGTTGATGACGTTATCTACAATACATAAGACTGAAAACAAATAAAGACACATTCTGTTTTGCACATTAGCCTATCAGGGCTGCCAACTCTCACGCATTCAGCATGAGACTCACGCAATTGACACTGTTCTCACACTAGGGTGACCACCCGTCCCGCTTTGCATTGCACCGCACAGCATTTTCACCCCTTGCCCTGCACATATTGAGAAAATGTCCCGCATTTTCATCAGTCTGTTGGTTTTTAATTGTCATATTAAGAAAACATACATGCGTTCTTTTGCCTATTTAAGAAAGCTTTTTATTTACTCTTTTTGCAGCGTAGTTTCACCTATATTTAACAGCGCTTTGTCAGAAGTAGCAACCCACCTCACACAAATAAAACAGCCATTTTTTTTAATCCAATGGTTGGAATTTTAAAAAAAAGGCTGTGACGTAGTGTTAATTTTGTCAGCTATTTTCAATTTTAGTCTTAGTCTTAGTCTTAGTCCAGTGTTAAAAATGTCCTTGTTAGTTTTTATCATATTTAGTCATCCTTATCCTATTTAGTTTTAGTCTAGTTTAAGTCAATGAAAACTTGATATTTTAGCAATAAGATTATTATTAATTAACCGTACGGTATTTATTTTGGCAGCCATTTTTAATTTAGTCTTAGTCCTACTCAAATGTACATTTTAGTTATCATATTTAGACAACCTTGTCCTGTTTTTGTTTAGTCAAGTTTTAAGTCAATGAAATGAATGAGCATTTTTGTCAAGTTTTAGTCAATGAAATCTTAGTCACATTTTCGTCATTCTGTATAATAGTTAAATTGATCAAAATTATTTTTGCTCAAAATTATAATTGTAATGATTGTTGTCATTTGAGAAATGTATATACTTCTTAGAAAAATTAATTTTGTCAGCTATTTTCAATTTTAGTCTTAGTCTTAGTCTTAGTCCAGTGTTAAAAAATGTCCTTGTTAGTTTTTATCATATTTAGTCATCCTTATCCTATTTAGTTTTAGTCTAGTTTAAGTCAATGAAAACTTGATATTTTAGCAATAAGATTATTATTAATTAACCGTACGGTATTTATTTTGGCAGCCATTTTTAATTTAGTCTTAGTCCTACTCAAATGTACATTTTAGTTATCATATTTAGACAACCTTGTCCTGTTTTTGTTTAGTCAAGTTTTAAGTCAATGAAATGAATGAGCATTTTTGTCAAGTTTTAGTCAATGAAATCTTAGTCACATTTTCGTCATTCTGTATAATAGTTAAATTGATCAAAATTATTTTTGCTCAAAATTATAATTGTAATGATTGTTGTCATTTGAGAAATGTATATACTTCTTAGAAAAAGCTTGTTCTCCATCATTGCATAGGCCCACTCATGGATGAGACATGCAGATAACTATAGTCCACCTTCACTGAATTTTATATAATAAATGAACTCTGAAAAAGTAATTCTATTCTAGCATTCTATTAGTTGTCCAAATTAATTCATTGCAGCACTTTTGTCATACCTAAATCGAGCTCTGTACAAGGGAAAATAATGTAAGAATGTAAAATGAGTTATTTTATGCATTTAAATATGGTTTCATTTTCTTTTCATTTTCGTACTTTACAAATTAACGAAAAATGTGTGCATATTTTCTAGTACATTTAACTGCACTGTGCTCACATTTGGCCTACTTGTGCATTAAATTATATATATTTCTAAACGACATAGCCTATCATCTTGCACCCTATTGTGATCCCGAGTTGCAGAATATTTCAGTAGGCTGCATGCTTTTGAGAGACGTTCTTAAATGTAATGCACATGCATGCATGCACAGTTTTGCAGCTTTAATCGCCATTTTGTTCATTTCGTGAATTAACTGAAGATGCATGCTCGCAGTTTCTAGTGCGGTTTATTGTTGATGAAGTGATAGAGCATGCGCCTCATATTTGCATACAGTCGAAGAGCGTGCGTCATGAGCAAAACACCTGACAGGACAGGAAAGATTGTTTTACTGACATATAACAATATCTCATCAGACCGCAGTTCACTGTTGTTCTACTGAAGCTCATCTGGCACATGCACCTTCTCCGCGCGCGTTTGACTCGCGCCTGGTGCAGAGGGCAAGCTGAAGTGCGCGTCTGAAAAGTCTCTCGTTTGTTGTGGTGGCAAAGAGATACGGCCGTTCCACGTCTTAATACGTTTTTAATAAATACATTTTTGAACTCATTGAAATGCTAAAAACTGTTAATTAAAAATGTTGCATTCATTATTTTTAATAACTAAGCTTTTCTCATAGATAAAAAAAAGTTCGTCAAGACAAACTTTAAGTTGGCTTGAGAAAGCCGGACCAGAAAGTTTGAAGAAGATTGAAAAGTTTGATGGTTTTCAGTCTGAAATAGTTTGAAGTTTAAAGTAGTTTTAAAAGATTAAAGATTGAATGTTTTGAAGGCATGTCTCAGAAATGCTAATGTTGTGATTAATTAACTGGTAATCGTCAGTGTTGGGGAAAGTTACTTTTAAAAGTAATGCATTACAATATTGCGTTACTCCATAAAAAAAAGTAACTAATTACGGTACTTAGTTACTTTTTATGGAAAGTAATGCGTTACGTTACTTTTGCGTTACTTTTTAAATCTGGACAGGGCTTGCTTGTTTGCTTTTAAAATAAAAAAAAAGTTATATTTCTGGCAAATATAAAAGCCTTTCACACCAAAAGTGAAATGAATGCGCCTCAGGCTGAAGGGAAAGTACAGTAGAACGCAGAAGAAGACATTTCAACACACTTCAGCAATAAACAAAGACACACAAATGTTGTCTAGAATAATTTGTGCTTATTAGTACGCTTGAACTGCATCATCGAAGCTCAGAAGCAAAGACATCGGTTAATAGAATGGGATTAAATACATAAAGCATATTTGTGTTGTTTAACATTTAATTATTGCAGGTTTGCGTCATATTCTGAGTTGCGTTATTTTTATTCATTTTGAGGAATACTGAATCTGTGTGTTTTGTGAGAGAGATGAATTAATGCATATTCATATTTATTTTAGAACTACAGTAACATCTGATTTCTCACCATGGCGACACCAGAGCTGTCAATCTATAAACTGGAGAAAAAAAAGTAACGTGCGTTACTTATTTGAAAAAGTAACTCAGATATTCTCTTGTAAATTAAAAAGTAATGCGTTACTTTACTAGTTACTTGAAAAAGTAATCTGATTACGTAACTCGCGTTACTTGTAACGCGTTACCCCCAACACTGGTAATCCTTTATCATTTTGTAGTCATGCATGAGTTTAATCTCATTCAGAAATGACTGATTACCTATACGGAACTATACCTCAGTCCTACATTCGCTATTAATCACTGATTAGTTCATCCTGGCTTCATATTAGTTAGTAGTAGCTGAAGTGTTACTGTAGTACTAAATAAATCTGACAATTTAGTTGATAAACAAATTGAAAATGCTCCAAATATTTTGGCGAATCGTTATTGTTCAGAAGACCAGCACAGACAGATACAGACTCCTTTCAAATCAACACTAAAATGTCGATGTTAAATTAAGTTGTCAAATGCTCGATCTAGTATCGTTATGTAGTTAATAGACCTATGTTGTCTTGAAGACTGAAGTGAATGGAGAGAAATGCGTTTCGTTTCATTTTCGTTTCGTACAAACTTTAACACACACACACACACACACTTTTAAATATTATTTCATTTCAAAAATTATTTCATTTTGATCGGTCTTGAAGATGAATGCCCGTCTTCACACATATGTGTTCGCATTAAGCTTCTTCTTTGGACAGCAGATGGTTTGTTCAAAATGACGGTCTAGAGATTTGCAGAGCAGTTCCAGACTTTTACTCAGGTCGATGTCGACAGTAATGTCGAAACATTAAAGAGCTAATAAAAGGACAAATCTGCCCCTTAATCTTGCACTTACCGGAAAGCGAGAGCTTCGTCAAGAGTGAGCTGTCGACTTCTGAACTGCGCGGTTCAACCTGATGCCCTGCTTTTCAGCCGAAGCTAACGAAAGTGGAAACACTTTAGAATAATGTTCCGTTGTTAACTATGCAGGAAGTAATAGCTAGTACTACATTAACACTTAACACTATTAACTAATACAGAAGCAAGATGAACTAAGCAGTAAGTAGTAGCACATTTAGGACAAAGGTAGTTCCTTATTAGATATTTGATCATTATTAAATAAAAATATCCTCATTGAGAACTACTTGTGAACTATGACCAATTAATAAAGAATAACCCATTAATTACTAATCACAACAGTAACGTCTTAAAAGTGAACAATTGGGTTCTTTGTGGAAACTAATTTATGAATATGATATCCCCCAAATAAGTCGGCTACAGGTTGAAATTGTGACTACTACTCTTACCAAAGGATGGATGTTCAAACTTAAACATAGAATAATAATACAAATGAAAATTCACTTTAAAATGTTAATAATTAAGAAGGGATGCTGACAAGCTCATGATTGAATTAGTTCACAATTATGATCTCTGCTTCGTGTCAGTTCAGTATCAATGTATCCCACTCCAAAAGACCTACTGGTACAATATCTCTAGTGCTTCACACAAATGTATGACTGTACAGAATGTGTCAGATATAAAATATGTTAAATAACTTATTCATTTACTTCAGTTAACGTGTTTTTCACTTTAAAATAATGGTCCAGGGCTGCACTAACGTTGTCTCTTAGCTCGCTACGAAGACTCTAAAGGTATATCTTAACTAGAGGTATACCTGTTCTAGGCGTGTTCCCCGAACTATACCTTAGGATGCTGCTTAAGGTAAACCTTCTTACGTGCGACGTTAGCAGGTGCTGTCCATGGCGGTGGTGCTGAATAGGTTGATATCAATGGCTCGAGAATCGATTGTTCTCTACAGGAGCTCTTTCACTGCGTTATAGAGCGGGTAAAGTGATGTTCATTATAAAGAAACACTTTAGAAATATTAGAAATGGCATTTATCGGGGCTCACTGCATTTATAAAATAATCCAAATTTCAAATTAAATGCGACCTTGGATATCACACACACACACACATATATACAGTATATATGTGTCTGTGTGTGTGCATGTCTATGTGGTTTATGAGGACATAAATTTGTATAATAGCATGGGTATGACACAGGTATTACAACGAGAAGGTGATTTATGAGGACATTTTCAGTGTCCCCGTAATTCAAAAGGCTTATAAATAATTCAGAATGAGTTTTTCTGAAAATCTAAAAATGCAGAAAGTTTCCTGTGAGGGGTAGGTTTAGGGGTAGGGTTGGTGTAGGGCAATAGAATATACGGTCTGTACAGTATAAAAACCATTACGCCTATGGAGAGTCCCCATAAACCATAAAAACAAACCTGTGTGTGTGTTTATGTATATGAATAATTTTGCAAGTGCGAACCTGCAAAAGTATTCTGCCTTAACCAGCTACATTAACTGGCTGTTTGGCTTCGCTTGATTTTGAAAGGGTCATTTATATTCTCATGTTCATATATATTATGAAGGCCTGGTCGAGCGCTGATGGGTTGGCGATGGGGATAAGTGTCCTCTCCACAAGGCCAATTACTCACGGGACAC